CTCAACCCTAACACTGAGTAATACACACCGTTACCAATCGACTTACAAGATCAAATATGTACCTTAAATACTTACTATATATATATAGATTTATGGGAATTATGACACAACTGCTTGCAGGGTTTTTTTTTTTTTTTTTTTTAAGCAATTAAGTGATAATCGATATGGACGACTATCAAGAGATGGAGAGATTTGGGGTGGAGAATGATTACGAGGACGGGCAGTGGATAGACGGTGAATTCTACTACAGAAAACGCAAGGAGAAAAAGTCTCAGACCAAGGATGACGTCCTTTATGGTGTTTTTGCTTCGGACTCTGACTCTGATGATGATCGTTCTTCCTCTAGAAAGCGGCGCAAGGACCGGGATTTCGGAAGGAAGCCCGATTTGTCCAAACCTGTGAATTTCGTCTCCACAGGTACGGTGATGCCTGACCGAGAGATTGATAAGGATTCAAGAAAGGAAAATGATAATATTTTTGATGATGGCAATGATGATAGGCCTGTATTGGGTTTAGGGAGTGCGAACTTGGGGTCTGGATTAGGTTTGGGGTTTAAAGCAAATGATAGTTCCAAAAAACATGAGAATGGGTTGAGAAATAGCGTTCTGGATGATGGTGATGCTGATAATGAGGATGATAATTTCTTGCCCACGGCTTTCGGGAGGAAGATAAAGGAGGGGGCACAGAGGAGGGAGAAAGAGAGGGAGAAGTTGAGGATGGAGAAAAAAAGCCAGGAAGGGAAGAGAGAAGCCGTGACCGGAGATGTTGGAGAGTTTGAGAAGCATACTAAAGGTATTGGAATGAGGTTGCTCGAGAAGATGGGGTATAAGGGAGGTGGGCTTGGGAAAAATGAGCAAGGTATTGTGAATCCTGTAGAGGCAAGAATGAGGCCGAAGAATATGGGAATGGGATTTAATGATTTCAAGGAGACGTCTAAGTTGCCAAGTCTGCAGCAGTTAGAGGAGAAGAAGAGTATGGACCAGCAGTCGGTAGGGAAGCCAAAAGAAAGGCTTTGGTCAAAGCATGCAAAGGGGAAGAAGAGGGAGTATGTTACAGTGGACGCATTGTTGGCCAAGAAGCAAGAACAGGCTGTTGAAGTTGTCCAGAAAGTTATTGATATGCGGGGTCCTCAAGTTCGTGTTTTGACCAACTTAGAGAACCTAGATGCAGAGGAGAAGGCCAGAGAGGATGATGTCCCCATGCCTGAATTGCAGCATAATCTAAAGTTGATTGTTGACTTGGCAGAGCTTGATATTCAGAAGATTGATAGAGATTTGAGAAATGAGAAAGAGACAGCACTCAGTTTGCAGAACGAGAAGGAAAAGTTGGAGATTGAGGCTGCACGACAGAAACAGCAGTTGGATAATATGGAGCAAATCGTCAGTGCACTTGGTCGAATTGAGGAACAGAATTCTTTGGGAACAATGACTTTGGACTCGCTGGCAAAGTCTTTTAGGGACCTTCAGAGGAATTACACTGATGATTATAAGCTATGTAATCTATCCTGCATTGCATGTTCTTTTGCATTGCCTTTGTTCATTAGAATGTTTCAAGGTTGGGATCCTCTTAAAAATCCTTCACATGGAATGGAGGTTGTTTCATCTTGGAAGGAGGTATTGCAAAGAGAGGATAATCATGACATATGGGAGGATGTATCAACACCTTATTCTCAATTGGTTTCAGAAGTTGTTTTACCTGCAGTGAGAATATCTGGTATCAACACATGGGAGGCCAGGGATCCTGATCCGATGCTTAGATTTTGGGAATTATGGGAAAAATTGTTGCCATCTTCCGTTCTTCACACCATTCTTGATGAAGTAGTTATGCCGAAATTATCAAGTGCTGTTGAATCATGGAACCCACTCTTGGAAACTGTTCCAATCCATCTTTGGGTGCATCCGTGGCTGCCAATGTTGGGACAGAAACTGGAGGGTTTGTATCAGACCATTCGCTTTAAGTTGAGTAAGGTTCTTGATGTCTGGCACCCAAGTGATGCATCTGCTTATACAATACTGTCACCTTGGAAGGCTGTGTTTGATTCAGTGAGCTGGGAACAGCTTATGCGTCGCTATATAGTTCCAAAGTTGCAGATTGCTTTGCGAGAGTTCCTAATAAATCCAGCAGATCAGAAGCTTGATCAGTTTTACTGGGTTATGTCTTGGGCTTCAGCTATTCCAATCCATCTTATGGTTGATTTAATGGAGAAATATTTTTTTGGGAAATGGCTGGAAGTTTTGTATCGGTGGCTGTGTTCAAATCCCAACTTTGATGAAATTAACAATTGGTACCTGGGTTGGAAGGGACTTCTACCACAGGAGCTTCTTGCCAATGAAAGCATTCGATATCAACTTAATCGTGGGCTTGACATGATGCTCCAGGCTGCTGAGGGATTGGAAGTGGTCCAGCCAGGTTTGAAGGAGAACCTTGCCTATCTCAAAGTGAGCGAACAGAGGCAGTTTGAAGGATATCAGCAGAGAGCAGCTGCACAGGCACCAGCTGCAGCAGGCCTGGGTAGCACAGCTCAGGTGGATGGTGTGCCCGAGCTGAGTTTGAAGGAAGTTGTTGAGGCTTTTGCTCAGCAACATGAGTTGCTATTTAAGCCTAAGCCTGGAAGGCTGCATGATGGCCACCAGATATATGGCTTTGGTAACATTAGTGTGGTAGTTGACTCACTAAATCAAAGGGTTTATGCCCAAAAGGAGGATGGCTGGTCCTTGGTCTCACTTGATGATTTGCTAAGGATGCATAATAATTCACTGAGAAACAGGCATTGAATTTGAGATTGTCATATGAAGTGGTTAGGGACGTTCTGTTGGAATGTAATCCTGAATTTTATACTGCCTTTTGAAAGTTGACAGTGTTTCAAGTGATGAAAGATCAGTTGCATTAAGCGGAAAAATTTTGAGGGTTCAGGGGGTTAGTTTCACTTTGATCTTTTACTTGTAAGAACTGCTAAATAGGAGAATTTTTTTTACCATGCTTAATTTAATGTGATGACTAAAATTTGTGCACTTGGGTATTTTGATCTTGGACAGTCAAGTAAATGTTAATTTCCCATAAAAGAAAGTATGGATTCTGCACAAGAAACCAAATCAATGTAGGGATATCACCACTTAATAATACTTCCTTCACATGTATTGCCTGGTAGAGCAAGAGAAAGGTATGGTGGGCCTAATAATAAGTAGATAAAGAAAGGGGCTGATTGAGAAACAGGTCAAACAATGAACCTGTAATCTAATATCATCTTAAGCATCTGGCCTAAGGTCAAATGGCAACAGGGAGAACATGAATATATGACCACATGAAACTCCATACTTAACCAATGTGGGATGATCTTTAGCTATTTTTGTTTTTTGATACTTTAGAGGACAAATGCCTGAACCAAACTATGTGTCAAAACCTAGGTGCATCAGAGGATTGTTGATCAGGACTTGAACCATGCTCTTTTACTTTTATTGAGATATATGCACGGTTTGCATTAATGTGTTTATGTCCTGACAATTGAATGTGTTTATGTGATTTCATAAATGCATTAATGTGTTTACGTCCTTAGATTTTGCTAGCTCGAGTGTTTGTTATTTTTGGTGGAAAGGAGAAATAGTATTACTTAATAAAAACACATACAAACTAGGTTCTGGGGAATTCAACCCCTATAGCATCCTGCTTGCTCAAGTTTTTGCTCAAGAATATTTATATGTCCTGCTTCTAGTGCCTTTTCATCTAAATGCATGAATGTGTTTTTTTGGCCATTGATTAGTTAGTTTGCCGCATGAGTTTGCTCCATCATATGTTGGGAATACTACTAGAATATTCAGAAAAAACCAGACAGAAAATACAAAAGGAACAATGAGTTTAAAGGAACATCTTGGAATCCTGAGATTGGCGAGGCATCGGAGGGAGGGAATCTATGGTTTGAGGCTGAGATTGGGATGTTTGGTTGAGGAAATGGGGATTACGGTTAGGGTAGGCGGAGAGAGTGGTCATGGGAAAAAGGGGTCTAGAAGGAGATGGAGGATTCAGGGGATGATAATTAATGGAATTTAGCTTAAACGTTGTATTCAGCTTGATAATTAATGTGGTATACATTACTAATAAAAAGGTTCCATCTTTTCTAATGTCTACTTTGTTTCTTTCTTTTGCTCAAAATGTTTATCTTTTAGTTGTTTCACATCTGTAGTTCTTATGGTTGGCTTGGTCTCTTATTTGCATGAATGTCTCAATAATTAATGGTTGTTTCTGTGGTATAGAGTCTTATACTATCTTTAATTTGCTTTTTAAATAATCAGCACTTAGTATGTTTTAGATCTCTTAATTTTCTTGCATAGTATTCGTCACCTTTGTCAATTATGTACAATCGCAGGATCTATCTAACATCACTGCTAGAGTAAATGCACACCAGCCTTCTTCTTCTTCTTCATCAAGCCAGCCTTCTTCTTCATCAGGCCAAACTTCTTCAAGCCAGCCTCCTTCTTCAAGCCAAATGCCATAATGGTTTTTTGGATATAGTTGTTGTCATATAGATGTTATGGTTTTTGGATGCAGTTGCTGTCATACACTGATTGCTTAGTGTTGCTTAGTTTGTGTTATACACTAATTGCTTAGTGACATTTTGATAGGATCAGTTAACACAAGTGGTTTTTTGAACAAGCAAGTCAGCAAGGTTTGGTTAGTCACTGAGTGCTTAATGTTCATGTATGCACTCTTTCTAGGATACCTGATTTGCAGGCGGCAAACTGGCGCTTTCTAAAGCGCCTGGCACTGTTTTGCAGACCTCATTCACGCACCAGAAAAAACCCGTGATTCTTGTAGTGATGCCTTCTCAACCCTATGCATGCTTAACCTTTGATCTCTTTTGGATTGCAACAACAAAGATTTTAATGGAATTTTATTTGAGATGCAGTTAAAAGTACTGGATCTTAGTTGTTTTCGTTAGTTGTTTATGGGGAATTACTTTTGCATCTAATGTTCTTTGTCTAATCCATTGACACCCCAAAATAGACCTTTAATATACCTTCATGTCTGAGCTGTGAATATGGATCTGTGGACCGATTAGGACAACCTTAGAGCTTGGGTTGTCATTTTGTGCTATGAATCCAATGACTTTTTGGACCATGGGGACCAAGCTGTTTCCTGTTATAATTGAGCTATGCTCCTCCACTTGCTCTCAAGAACCAAAGTGAAAGTATTTATAAGAACCTTGAAATTAGAAAGATCAACAACAAATCAAAGAGATATTTATTTGTTTGTTTATTTTAGTTAGGGTTTTGATTTTGGAATTTTTAGGAAGAGGAAAACACTGGAGAAAGGCAAAAACGGAGGAAAAGCAAGTAGATATCAAGAAGAAAAGGCAACGAAAAGCTTAAAGACCCCGCAATTCTCTTGAGATTGCTATGCTCTAGCTCTAGCAGAGCATTTATCAAAGGTGTGAATCACTCTCCTTGGCATGTTATAGCCACCGATAAAAATGTTATGACTATTAAAATTATAAAATATTATCTTTAAAACTATTAAGGCTGTTTAATTTGAATAATAAAAAGAAAAAATATGAAAATCAAGACGTTTATCACAATTATCAAATCAGTGGATCTTCAATCGGGACTTATGAAACTAATGATTATGATGGATGTCTTGATTGTTAAATCGTCTTGATTTTTAAAAAATGACTATAATTGTAACTATTAATTGATGGTTAAAAAAAATTGTAATTATTAATTAATAATTGATAAAATAATTGATATTTATTATTAGTTAATAAATTAAAATTAGTCA